AAAAAAAAAGAAAAATAGAAAACAAGTAAATTAAATAAACTGATAATATACCGAACGAAAAATCTTCTTCTAGAATAAGACAGCAATAGTTTGTTAGATTGTAATGGATAAAAAAGAAAAGAAAAAATAAATAAAGAAAGAAAAAAAAAACAAAGGTAGAGGGAGTGGAGAACGTTGAACGCGGATGTCGTAGTCAATTGTCGGGCACCTAGCAACACCAGATTTCTTCTCAACTAGCTTTTGAGAAGTAACCACCGCACCAACCCTCCTCGTGGAGGTAAAATGAGAAACTCGTAACACTTGGTCGCGATATTTCACACTATCCGGCGAAGACGAACCGAAGACTGACGGGCAACACCTCTCAGTTTCTCATGAAACGACCTTTCCTTCTCTATCTTCACTTGATAGAGAACAGACAGAAGGTGGGGTGGTCTGTCGGGTTCCTAAAAGAAGAAACGTTACGTATACCATACATATCCATCCATCCGTCCTCCTATTTTCTTGCTTGACCAACTCCGTTAAGGTGTTCCTTTAGGGTGCTAATTAAAAGACAGGAATTACAAAGAGTCTAACCCTACCCTCTACCCCTTCCTACCCCTCCCCCAACACCAACACACCAGCCACCACCATCACCCATCACCAATACACCAGCCACCACCATCACCCATCACCACCAACACTTTTATTTTCCTTATTTCATCAGGATAATGTTATGCCAAGCAAAAACATGGCAGCCGCTGCCACGCGTTCCTTCTGCATTGGCTATTATCATTTAGAAAGCATTCGGTGAAACTCGAAAGATACGATATTACTGGTTACCACCACCACCTAGACCGTTCAAGGACGTTACTCGTTACCGCCTCTAATCCCATCCGTAAGCCAATTGTCGTTCGAACACGCTACCATTTGTCCGCCATCATGGATTATTGGCTTATTCATCGTATTTAAGTTAACGGGGGAGTTACCACAAGTCCGTCCTGTTATTATTATTATTATTATCATCATCATCATCATCAGCAGTAGTTTTGACCGATCTCCTTCTCACAAGTTTATTCACGAAAGAGAAGACAAGAGAAGAACGTTTGTTATACTTTAATACGGCACCATACGACGTGTTGTAATACGACGAAACCCCCATTTTGTTTTTGGTTTTTTTATTGTTTCGTGTTTTAACTTAAATCGTTTTATAATATTCGGATTTCGCGTAATTTGTATATTCGCATTTTATTCGATTTTTAAAGAGATTTATTGTATTTTGTAATTATTATTATTATCTTTTTGTTTATGGTTTATATAACTTTTCGCATGTGAACACTTATCCTTTTCCTTTTTTTTTTTGTTTATAGAGTATGTTGAGTTTTTATTTTTGTTTCTTTTTTTTTTTGTTATAACAATTCAATTATTTTTGTACGTAATCGTAAAATATATATTTCTTGTTTTTTTTTTTTTTTTAAAAACGAATGAGATATGTTAAGTGCAACGTTTTCATATGTATTTGTTCGTTGTTGTTCATATAAAAGTGTTAAAACATTATTTTATACGTTCATTGGTTTCGCGTTAGTGATCATTCGATCATTGTGGGTTCTTCCATTCTTTCGAAAGATACATATTAACCATTGTTAGCTTGTCCTGAGTTTTTGATTGCGAGAAGTCAACAAGGTAAGCTACCACCAAAGAGATGGAATTTTTCGGAGTCTTACTTTTTCATCTTAAATTAGTAAAATCAACAGAAATTGTACGACTCGTATAAGAAATCACTCTTTTCTTTCCTTTCTTTCTTTTTTTTTTTGACTGGCCAGGTACATTTGACCAGGACCGTTTTTTGTTTGTTGTATTGGTGTATATATATATATATATATATGTAAAGGTATTCGTGATTTATTTGCATTTGATGTGTGTGAAACTCTCGTACAAATTTAAGTCGTTGGTATAAATCTATAACAAAATTTTCTAAATTTTTGATCGGTTTGAGAATTTTTAATATTCGAATGAATTTAATTAAGATTTTGATTATAAATTTATATTCAATTAATTAGATATTTTCTATACACATACTTCCAAACAAATTGATTTTATTTGCATTGCAAGAAACCTTGACTAAACCATAATTGATACACACATTTTATTTCGTTCAGAATATTTTTCTTTGTCATCTGTCAAAAGTTTGTCTGATGTGTACGAATTAAAACAAAAAAGAAACTATTGCAATAGTATTAACATATTTATAAAAATGATATATCTTCAATTAATTTATTTTCACTTAAACATTTCAATTATAATCGTTCAAAATCATCTGGCAAATATTTCACACGAACATTTGAAAAAACAAACAAACAAACGTATAACACGTAATTGATATTTCGTTTAGACAGAAAAATTTCGGAACAGATCTAACAAATAAAATAATACAAATAAAATCTCTACAAATGTACAACATGCACGACTAAGGGGGTTTTATACTAATTTAACATAAATCCATACTAATGTTTACTTCTTTCTTTTTTTTTCTAAATATTTCGAAAGAACAACCACACACTCGCAATATTTCTGGCTGTTCCAATCCAGTGGCATAGGTAATAAAACTTTTTAGAGTTTCCTTGTAATGCGTTAGATGAATCATGGTGGTTTATAGCAGGTTGTCTCTCACATGTATACAATATATAATACAGCTACCTGCCTACAGTTAGGTAGCATACATTTTTTTTTCTTCCTTTCTTCCTTTCTTTTTTTTTTTTTAGATTAGAAAGAACCATTCGTTTAATTTTTATCACGTTTGTTAGTTTACCCCATACGGTTTGAAACTTTCTTAATATTGGTCCCCTTTCATAAAAAAAAAAAATATCTTTTTTTATCGATAGAGTTTCCCATAACATCTATATATCGGACCTTTTATTTTTGTATACATTGTTTACAAATCGTATATCTCACACGGTTTGTTTTATTTTCTAAAAATCAAATATAAATTTTTATATACCGAAAAACTAAGATATTTTCCGTATTTAATGTGGTGGTTTGAGCCTCGTGTTATCTGAATAGGTTTTCGTTTTTTTTTTCCCTTTTTTTTTTTTTTTCAATATGTTACGTTTTTTAAAAAGATTAAGACCCTTCGACGGGGGGAAGGTTTTATTATTTAAGTAATTATTTATTTTAGATCTTTATTCTGATAAGAAAAAAAATAAGAATAAGGTTGAACTAATACTAAAAACTTATATGCCGACGGGTTTGGTTAAATTTCGATATTATTTGTATAAAACTAAATTGAAACACAGTAGAAA